GAGGAGCAGGACGGCGCTGTCCGTTACGAGGTCAGGTGACCCTCACGGACCAATCACAGCGCTCCTGCCGTGGCGCGCAGTATAAAAGGCCCCTCGGCGGCTCCTGCCCCGGGGTGGGTGTGTGTGCTGTGCCCGGGCAGGTTGTGTTTCCCTCCCTCCGCCCCGGGTAGGTGCCACCTGTTCACCGCCTTCGTTAATATTATGGACAGTCTTGGCGCTTGTGAAATCTGAATGCTTTGCTTTGAGCAATTAAAGCTGTTACTTATTTCCTTTATTCGGCTGAGGTGTCAGTCACTAAAAATGTTTTGTTTCTTTACGGTTTTGCAATTACTGTCCTGTGTACGGTCACCAACCAAGTCACTTCAGTGAGTGAGTGCTGCTTGCACCTCAACAGAGGCAGGTACATTGCTTAAGTCAATGATTTTTCCTTTTCAAGCTCTTCTGTTTCTCTATAGAGATGAAAATACTCTTCAGTCAAAAAGTAGTTTCAGGAAAACAATGTCTGTGTTATTTCTGTCTGGAAACTTTTTCCTGTTCTGCAAGGCAAATATTATTGGATAATACTGATTTCCTATGACTACAAAAAGGGTATTTTCTTCCTGCAGGCAAATGGAACTGCAGTGTTTGCATCAGGGCACCCTCTGCATGTTCTGTGCATTGCTCAGTATGTTATATATGCTCTGTATTTTGGCTCTTAGCTACCCACATTCCGTGTTTAGAACTAAATTGCTTAACAAAAACATCTGCTGGCTGGTTACAAAGCCTGTCCCCATAGCACCCCATGATGTTTCTTCTGCTGTTGAGTCCATTTGTGCACCTTGCCGTTAATTTTCCTAACTTGAGAAATGTTCAGGGGATGCTCTTGGGGATCCCATTCTTTCAGCTATGTTCTTCAGAAGCTGCCTGGAGAGCCACCCATTCTTCCCATGTTACTGCTTGATGTTCTGGACACAAAACAACAGCACAGCGCAATTGTTGAAATAACTATGAAACAAACATTGCTTGTGGGTCACTCTCTTTAGGTACTACCATCAGAATCCTTGCCCTTTTGGATTATTTCTTAGCACTTCCCAGGATAATGAAAAACTAAAATAAAATAGTTGGTGTTTACTAAGGGAGGCTGTTCATGGCTGTGTAAAAAGAAAAAGAAAAAAGTCTTTTTAGGGAGCAGCTGGAAGTATAATACTTAAAATATTTAAAGTATTTTTCTTTCACTGGTTTACATTTTGCTTGAGCACTTTGACTTAACAGGTTGCCTCTGATGCCTTAGTTCCCACAATGCAGTGACTATAATGCCAGCTGCAGGAATAACTGCATTTGAAAGCCTCTGTTTTTATTTGCCCTGAAGACAAAAGTAAATATTATCAATAGATTATGTAACAGCAAATAATCCAATAGGTCATGACTTTAATGACAGTTTATATTTATTTATTATAAAGTTACTAAATTTCTGCTGGTTCTGTTTTCATTTCCAAAGCTAGCAATGCATTCAGTAATAAAAATGAAGTAAAATTGAGCAGTCTGTGCTGGAATCAGTTAAACTACTAGAACTGATCCTGCAAAAATCTCTGTCCCAGCTTCACTCTTGTCTCCATGTTTGCCATACTAAGGATGAGAGAAATCAGAACACGTAAATGGAATGTATTGTATTTCAAAACACATTTTCCTCATTAACACATTACCACTTACCTGGTCGTTCCCTAGAGCCTCTCTTGGAAACACTAAGGAGTATTAACAGGAAAGAAGACGCAGCAGCTGGAAGTCAGTTGAAGAAGTCAACAAAAACAGAACTAGAAATCAATTAAGTATGTTTTATGGAATTACTCAGCTTATTAGCAGACCAGGAAAAGGAGCAAAAGCTTAACAGAGATGCAGTAATTTCAGGTTTTATCTTTATTTGTGTCCTTGATGATAGTTTATTAATGACCTTCCCTAACCCCTTGAGGGTTCAAAATGTGTTGGTCAACTGCAGCTGAAGTCAGTCTCACTGTGCTTGGTGTCCTGAGAAAACCCTGACAAGCATGACCACATCAAACACAGGCAGCTGATTATCCGGGCAGTTGTGTGTCCTTGCACAACCACACAAGTGGGTTACTTCTTGTGCACTTAGATATGTGTCCTGAGTTAGCCCCTACTGCAGAGTGCCTGTAATTGCTCCGTCTATGTGTCTGGGGTGGCAGCTGCCTATCACACTGCAGCATAAAAATAAGTCTAAATGCACAGCTTTTTTTTCTGTGTTAGAGAGTACAGCAAAATTTTTTAGAATACCAGCTTTATGTTTAATTAGTTGGCAAGTAGGTGTTTTTTTTTTGTGATTTCTTTTTCCTATTTCATTCCCTAATGAATGGCAAGACAGCTAAAATGATATTTAAAGTTCCTATGGGTTGTCTCAAAATAAAAACTTGCATCTTTACAAACAAAATAATTATCTATCACAGTTAGATATGTAACAGAAATGAAGCAGATTGACATTTGGTTTACATTACCTACTATATCATCTGATGGTTTTTGTTGTCCAGTTATTTTGCCATTCTTTTTTTTTTTAAAAGCTAATCAGAACACACCTTTCTTAAATTCAGTGCTGCTGGTGATCCAAATGCAGTGAGGGATGACATTTTTATTTGATTCTGACTTCCATTTCATGGTTGCTTTTTCTTACAGGAAGTTCCAGGTTATCTGTCCTCTGCCTGGAGCTCTGCTACTGTTAAGTAAAACATTCATACAGCATACTGTTTTTCATAAGAGTAAGATGTTAGCTTGCTCCAAACTCTTCTTTTGCTCATGTTTTCAAACTAGGTGTCTAATGCAAGCCTGCAGTTAGCCAGCATGACCTGCTGTTTGACACAGGAGGGTGCTGAAACTTGATGAGGCCTGCAACAAACTTCAAATCATAAACCATACATTAGTATTTACCTAAATTGTCTGTTTTACATTAACATTTTTTGACAAAGAAGGCAAATGGCAAGTTAAGTACTTTTAATTTGGTGTGAACTGTAGAAACTCAAAAAGCAAAACTGAATGTAAACAATTTTCTTCCCTCTTCCTACAAGGATTTGACAAGGAAAGCAGATGAGCTTAAAAGTCAGCCCACAGAAGAGCAAAGCCCTGTGGGTAGCTCTGAGGTAGCACAAGGACTTTGCAGTGATCCCAAGTGAAAACCTTGTGGACTGAGGAGAAAGGAGGGAAAACAATTGAGTGGAGGGACTAACTCTGGTTACTGTAAATACCTTTCAAGTGTTGTTATTTTTACTTTCTCATGGTTGTTAATTTAATGAAGATAAATCCACAAAAAAGAAATACAGATTAAAGAGAGGTCAGGAGAGATGTCACCTTGGGATCAAAAACTGCAAGACATTGGACATGGGCACAAATCTCATGTATGCAGCAAGTTCAGTTACGTAAGATTTAACTCTGTATTAGCAGTTTACTACTAATTTCCAAGCATTCTCAACTATTGACAGTATCCTTTAAATTGAACACCTCCTCCCCTCAGGTCTACTGTTCTTGTATTTCAAGAGGGCAGAACTGAGGCTGTGGACTAAAACAGATCTGGTTCCTGCTGTCACCAGTCCCAGTGCAGTGCTGGCTGTCAATACCTGACAATTTCAAAATACATTTAACCTTAAAGCTTTTCACAAAGTTAAAATATCAGCCTACTGCAACTTTTATAAACTTTTCTACAATATACTGAAGTTGACTTGGGGCTTCTGGATGCTATATTCACAGATGTGCAATAGAAAAATATTAAAAGGCTGAAAAGATCTGTACATATAAATTTAAGGCCACTTCCAGCTCATCCTTCATAGGCAGCAGGAACCATGAACCCCAAGGAATTCAGGCCATACAAGCATATCTTCCAGTGTCTGGAGCTGACTGGCCTGTAAAAAGTTCAGTGCAGAAAACATTAACATTGGCATTTTACTATGTGGCATTTTTTCAAATTCTGCTGTTTAAATATTTTCAATGGTATATTGAGAAACTGTCAGTATAGAAAAACTAGTCTTTATTTCCTTTATAAAATTTTGTTTTCATTTGAATTGCTTGAGGGGTCTTTCTTATCATCATTAATTGCAAGGACTGAAAAAACAACTGAAGTCAATTTTAAGAGACCAAGCTAATACACACACAAATAGTAAAAACGTGAAACTCAAATCATACATCAGTGTTGCTTGCTCAGGAAAAAAAAAGAGGATGCCAGGATGGCAAAGCCAAGTAACACTAATTTTTAAATCTGCATTCAGCTTTCCAATAAATGTATCCCCTTATATAAGCAAAGTTTAGCAGAAAGCAACAAACATAGGCCCATGTTTTGGTTTCAGCTGAAGAAAATTCCCTTAAAACGTGATTGTTAAATACAGCACTGCCTTGCACATGCAGGTTTTAGTCAGAAGAGAAATTTATGTAGATCAGTCCTTTAAAGTGTAATAGAAATCTGTTAACTGCATCACTGCCCAAGTTTAGTGTTTGTTTGAAACTAGTCTTCAATTTTTTAAGAAGAAAAAGCCCTGCAGTCACAGGTAACTAAATTAAACAAACATATAAAGTGCTGGATGATTAAGAGGATGTCTTTTTACTCCTTTTCTGGAAAGTATGAACACTAAAGGTAACTTTCAGAAGTGACTTATTTGCTCACCGAAGTCGAAGATGACTTGAGAGTTGTGGCTTTGTCCCAAAATGAGCAATAATGTCTAAAGAACAGGACACAGAAATGACGCATCAAATGGAAAGAAAACTTCCACTTTGAAGATCTGCTATAATTTAAAATAAATACCATAATCCATAAAGTAAAATGAATATTTTATAATTTTTTTAAACTTCTTGCATGGTGTTCACAGACCTGAGAACACACCCAAAATAACTTGTCAAAAGTATTTCTTAAAAAAATTATAAATTATTTGCAACAGTTTCTTTAATGGAGATTGCAGGAGTAGGTCCCACATGAGTCCATATATAGCCCTTCTCTGGTCTTGTAGGTACAGTAGGGAAGGGAGATGATCGGGATTTGAAATATTCTGAAGGTGCATGACAAACAAATTCTAAATATTCCATTTTTCTTGGGAGATCTTCTTCTGGTCCTAGGAAAAAAAAAATGCTGTTCAAAGACAAAATTGAAAGGCATAAAATTACAGTACCCAGGATTTAAAAAATAAGCAATGACAGCCATTGTCCCTTAGAGAATGTGTGTTTTAAATCAGCAACTTCTCTGGCAAATCAGCTTTGAATAGTTGGCAAAAAATCTCCGCCTTGAGTTTCCCTCCCCCCAGTTTGAACCACTCAGTTGTTTGAGTGAAGTACTTTAGAAAATATATTTTAAAGAGACAGTACTTGCAGCATGGCTGTCAAGAGGACTTTTCAGAATCATTAAAGATTTTATAATCAGTGGCAGAACACTATGCCAGTGCTTGCACACTATGTATTTTATGTACCTAAGATGAAGATCAGCTAATTCAGGTAACTTTAAAAGCAACAGCTTGGAGTAACTTTAAGAGCAACAGCTTGGACTGGTATATCAGGTTTATAATGCAATAACTTTGAATCTATCTATTAAGTAATAATTTGATCTTTAAAGTTGCAAGACCATAATTGTGCCCATGAGCACAAATGCTAAGATATTTATACTTGACTGCATCAAGCTTATTGAAGTAAATGAGATGCTTACAAGATTAGGGTTTAAATGTGGAAATTGCATTAATGATCTTAACAAGCCAAGAAGTTAATTTAAAAAATACAACTCTGCATTAGTCTAGGCACGTATAAGTAGCTGTATAAAATAAAGGCTTAGAGATTACCTATGATATAGGATGCTGGGTCAAAGCAATCTTTGGGGCTGGCCTGCGTAGGGATGAGCCAGGTTAGTGCAGCACTTTTTTCACAGTATTGGTCCTGAATAAACCCGCGGATCTGAGCATAGTATGTTTTCCCATCCTGCTCATCGATCACTGAAACAACATCTCCAATTTGATAGTATACACCCTAGAAAACATACAAGTGATAATTAACAATCTGACTTTAGAAGATTCACTTGCTGATTCTGACTCGTATCTTAAGTATCAGTATCTTAAATTACCTCAAACTACCCCAATCTTGAAAGACAACCTGAATTCAGCCACATGCAAAAGACCAGCAGGGTACAACAGAGCAGCCATCAGCACTGCTTGTGCACAGCCACCCAGTGTCTAGGAGCCTGAGTTCGGTCCCAGAACTGCTAGACAGGCCATTTCACATGGTCTCTGCCCACCAAATGTCTCAGAAAGAACATGGCCTCATCTGTCTTCAAAGACACAGCTCTCTCAGCCACTCCACATCCTCTCCCAGGACTGCCACACCTCCTGTCTGCAGAGGGGTGACGGTCCCAATCTGTTGGAGGTCGGAGGGTGCGACAGTACCCTCTAGAAAGAGTAACTGTAGTAATTTCCTTGTCTGTGCAGGGAAAGCAGCTTTCTGCCTAGGAAGTTCACTCATCTGAGTGCAAAGGAGGTCCAAAACGCATATCCACCTTCCATGGTGCTCTGCAACGTGAGGCTGGCAAGCAAAGGCAACTCACGCCCTGTTACCGCAGCACTGTGCAGGGTCTGCACTGTCAGTATCAGCTTGCCAAGCTTCACCCAGGAGGGTTTTGTTTTTAAAAAAGACAGAAAGAACATAAAAAACCCAACCCTTCTCACCAATGCAGCCAAGTACGAAAACAGAAACATTTTGCATAGAGATCAGGTTAAAGAAAACTTTTTACATAATTCTTAGGAATTTCTGAAAAAACCTGAAACAAGCAAGAAAAGACATTAACCCTTCTCTGAACTAGACAACAGCAAAGGATGTTGGACATGAAGCATTAGGTCTCTACAGAGCATACAGAAACTCTGTCTACCACTTCTCCTCTGGCTGTGCAGTCTCCCAGTGGCTATCCTGACCTTAAGGGAAAAAGACATATCAAGTGGTTTGTAGTACCAGGAAACAATGGCAAATTTGAGAACTTTAAAAGGCTAACGCCTTGGCATAAAAATGCTCTCAAGTATGACTGCAAGAAGGCAGCTTCTGCTTTCATTGCTATAGACAACAGAACTCATTCCCAGTGTGTTTGAGAACACTCCTCTGAAACAGGAGCGAGGTTAGACATTAGGGCAACACAACCCATCCCCTCTACCAGCAATATTCTCTGCACATAAGGTAAGAAACATCACACGCATTTAAATAATCAACTATAGTAACTTTTACTTGACCTCTGCATGGTGAAAGTTAAGTTTAAAAACCTCAATTGCAATAACTACCAGGGAAACCAGATGCATCTTTTTCTTGGAAGGAAAAAAACGGTACAGTGAGAACTCTGTAAACTACTGTGGTAATAATCTGCCTGGCAGGACTTAACGCAGAGCAAAATGCTACACAGCTTCTAGGCAAGGGAGAACAGTGTCTGTGAACAAACACAACCTCACTGCTTTCACCATCCGTGGCAATTTCTGAAATTGGAAACAGAAACAGCAGGATCTTTTTTGCAAGCAGATTTGCATAAACCATACCTTATAAAAGATTGATTCTGCTGTAATTATAGTGGATACAGACTCAGGAGCCTTGATGGGCTATGGAAAGAACACAGAAATGGGAGATCAGGAGAGTTAAACCACCCATATATTACAAACCCAGGTTTTTGTTTGGTTTTTTTTCCCCTTTTAGACAACACAGTGACACATGATCTTTTTAGAATATTGGCAAACACAAGAAATCGGGTGCAAACAACTCAAACATTTGCACTTTTGAAAGTTTGAAAACACTAAATTGACACGCCTGGTTCCTACCTGCCCAAAGCTCCTTCCCTCAGGAAACGGGCCCGGAGGGCGGGACGCGCAGGCCCGTGCTGCGGGGGATAAACTGGCAGTGACCGCAGCCGCTTCCCGCCC